TAAACCAATTGTGCACTGTGGTTCAGTATAATTAGGTGTGTACATGGACCGGGTTGGTTCAGTTTTTATCAAAACCAAACCAAGCCAAACCAACTATATCGTTTCGGATTGGTTCGGTTTTGTCGGGTTTTTCGGGTTATCAGTTTTGTTATATGAGTATTATTGGAATCTTACTTTGTTAAAGTTATAAATAAAGTTTTGATAAGTGAATATATGTTTAGTAAATATCGAAAAAATTGACAAACATATGATCTATTAAATATTCTAATGGGAGATTTTTTTTAGTATTACATGATAGTTATTTTCTTAGCCGTCTAACAATAATTTTTCATTAATGTACGCTTTCAAGGCTAACACATGAGAGGATCCCAAATATTTCTACATTCTTTAAAGAAAATTCAATATAAAGTATTAAAAAAATATAAAAACTATATATTTATATAAAGTATTAAAAATATATATATAAATTATATATTTGTATGTCGGTTTGGTTAGATTTTTTTTTTCGCAATACCAAACCTAATCAAATTTTTTAATCGGTTTGATTTGATTTTTCGGTTTGGTGCGGTTCTCCGATTCGGTTTGAACCTGAGTACAACCAAATCGGATTGAACCTGAGTACAACCAAAAAAGATAGACTTTATTTCCCTGCAATTCTCCGCCTTGTTCAAATGCAGCTTCGAGATTCGAGAAATTCCACTTATATTGGTAAACCATGTCTATATGATCCCACTTTGCCAACAGGAAAGACTTCTTGCCATTGATCTTCCAAATTTCGCCTCATCGTTTATAAATTATATGTGTGTGGACGACACAAGAATTCCAAATTAAATAACGAAATAAATAATTCAAGTAACCTTTTCCCAACCAAAAAATATAATCCTACTTACCATAAAAGAATCCTACAAGATTTTTTACTTTAATAATCCAAATTTAGCCCAAATATAATTACTTGGGCGGCAAGATGCTTTTTCTTATATTTTTCAGCCGCATAAAATGTAATCAAATATTAGCTGTTTTTGCGGTTTAAACAACGCTCCTTTCAACGGGGCATTTGCATTTATACCCTTGGTCACCGTTAAACTTATACTCATTTTGTACAAAAAAATTGCAAGTCTACACACTTTTTCTTATATTTTTCAGCCGCATAAAATTGCAAGTTCTTTGGTTTGTAATGCAAACTTCAGACATAATAAATTTGAACTCAAGAAGGAATGCAGTCCAAGGATTTCAATCAAATGATTTAAATCATCAAATCTAAATTTGCAATTCGTGCTGCCTTTCGTTTTTCTAGTGGATGAATTTACTATTTGTAATCAAACAGATACTCAATTTTGATAATCTAAAATTTCTCATAAAAAATGCAACAACCATAATTTCTGCACTAATTAAAAGATCAAAAAACTAGCTTTACATTGATCTGTGCAAAATGGGGAAAAAAGAGAAAGAAGGAAGACAGAATTGAGAGAAGCAGATTCGCCCAAAAAAGGAATAAAAAAGAAAGAAGAAAGCAAAATGGGGAAAAAAGAAGGAAGACAGAATCGAGAGAAGCAGATCTGCCCCAAAAATGAATAAAAGAGAAAGAAAAAAGAAAAAACCAACGCATAACATGAAACTTGAAGACAATTGTTGAAAGTTGGTATACATGGAGGAAGAAGAAGAGGAGGAGGAGAAGTAGAAGAATAAGCGTGAAAATTTTGTCTAAAGTTCTCTAATATTGGGTACAGATTAAATATTTTGGCAAAATGTGAGTTTTTGGTCAATATTGTCCCATATCTTTAAGGATAGGTCTATTTTAGTCCCTCAAATATAACCCTGAGTATATTTAGTCCCTTAAGTATGCTAAAGTGGAGCACCTTTAGTCTCACTGACAGAATCTGTCCAAGATCAATTACGTGGTTGGTTTCGGCACTCACCGTCTTTTTAATTACTTATCGAAAATATTTTATAAACCAACACCCACAAATAGTACATAGCTGATTTAAGATTTTAACGTTGAAACTTTCACTTTTAAAAATTTCGGTTGATTTTTCCAAAAAGAATAGTTAAAATGTGAAAAAAAACAGAGTTGCCAAGATCACTTATAGGTATATTATTGAAGCAAACGAATAACCAGATTGTATTATCACTTTTAGCCTGCGCCAGAAACTATTTACATCTGGTAGCCGAAAAAGCATATAAAATTTGTATAATTTTGTATATTAACATACAAAATGTATATATATGCAAAATAATATACAATTTTTATACATTATTTCGGCTATTATTTTTACAACGGCTATACAGTGTCATTTTCTCATTAAAAACTTGCACAGAAGGGGATATTTTCAAGGTCAAAATTTTAGAAGACATTATCTAAAAATGAGGAATAGAAGTGATAACTTGCGTTATCCAATAAAAGGAGAGGAATCTTTTTTGCTTTAGAGCTGAAGATTTGCTTCATGAATCAAAGTTGGTTAACACCGTTAGTTTTTGAACACATTCAGTCAGTCAGATTAAAGGTGCTCCACTTTAGCATACTTAAGGGACTAATATGCTTAGAGTTATATTTGAGGGACCAAAATAAACCTACCCTCAAAGATAAGGGACAATATTGGTCAAAAATTCCAAAATTGGGTATAGATTAACTAGGGGTGATTTTTAAAAATAGCCAGATTTACAACTGGTCGTTCAAAAATAGCCCAATTTCAAAAGTAATCAAAATTTAGCCACTTTTTATGTGAAGATAAATCTGAGCGAAAACACTGTTCAAAACCCGGAAAATACTCCAGTATATTATGCTGGAGTTCCAGCATAAGTATACTTGAACTCCAGCATATTATACTGGAGTTCCAGAATAGTATGTTGGAACTCCAGCATAATATGATGGAGTTCCAGCATAATATACTGGAGTTCCAACATGTATAATGGTCCAGCATAATATACTGGAGTTTGGAGCACCAGTGCTCCAGTCTCCAGTATATTATACTGGAGCCAGCAAAGTATACCGGTCCAGCATAATATGCTGGAGTTCATACACAAGTGCACCGAAACTCCAGTATATTATGCTGGACCGGTCTCTATTGCAGCAGAACGGTTGCTATTTTTCATTGACTTGGTAAACTCTAGCTATTTTTGATTGACCAGTCCGAAAACTGGCTATACCGTGAAATTTTGGCATTAAATAGCGGGCGGCGTACAAACGGGGACCCTTTCAACCACCCAAAGGAAACAAAATGGGCCAGGATTCTTTTACGGAATTTTTACCTCTTATGGCAAAGGTTAACACCTTAATTATTTTAAATAAATACCATTTAAAAAATTATATTCTATAGATACCTTTTAATGTTGATAGCAAAATATCTAATTTTGGTTACCTCCTACCCCTAAGCCACTAAATACGCTATTTAGCTACACTATTTTCTTTCTCTCTCTACTTTGTTACATGCCATTCTCTTCCCCCGTCCCATTAAAATTTCTGCTCTCCTACTCCTTCTAACGGCATCTTCTGTTTGATTCACTTTAATCAATCCTTCAAAATCCAGCGACCAGCAACACAGCAACAACAAACCCTAACCCGAAGACTCAATCATGTCGAAGCAAATCCACGAAATCAAGGATTTCCTTCTCACAGCAAGAAGGAAAGATGCACGATCTGTCAAGATCAAGAAGAATAAGGATATGGTCAAATTCAAGGTTCACTGCTCCAAGTACCTCTACACACTCTGTGTGTCCGACTTTGAGAAGGCCGACAAGTTGAAGCAGTCACTTCCTCCAGGCTTGAGCGTGCAAGATCTTTGAAGATGGAAGGACTAATTGGCTACAAGGCGGAATTAGGGTTTGTTCTTGAACAAAGGCGACAGAGTTTGGGGCTGAGCAACTTGATTTTCTGTTAATATATTTCAATGATTTTCATGTATTTCATTGTATTCACTATCTTTTTTTTCATTGTATTTCAATGTATCCCGCTGTATTCTATGTATTTTATTTTATTTAATGTCTCGCTATATGCCATGAATTTCATATTTTTTTTTAATTAATATAATTTATGTATTCAGATGTATTATATAATTTCGCCGAAGATAGCTATATTTTTAGGGTATTTTTCGGTTGAGAACTTTTTTTTATAACCGAAAATACAAATTTTGTGTGTTATAATTGAGTTTGTTGAGTTATATTAGGAGTCTATTATGTTAATTGAAATACACTTTCCCGTTTAAAAATAATGTAATCCCCTGTTTCACGCCGTGAATACAGTCGAATACAGTAATCTGTACAGCTCTAATCCCATGTTTCACGCCATGAATACAGTCGAATACACTCGAATACAACAACTGATTAGCTGGACTTCACCGATTCACGCCTATTTTTACTATTGTATTCATGAATACAGTAGCTTAAATACATCTAATACATCTTATAACAACAAAAAACGTATCTACAATCCGTAATACAGCAAATGGTATCTATAGATCGCTAATTACCACTAAAAGATAGTGCTTTATGAAAATTTTTCTTCTTTTACTGGGGAAAACTATAAAGTATAGCACTCCCAGAACTAATATCGGATAATATATATATATATATATATATATATATATATATATATATATATATATATATATATATATATATATATATATAACATATTTTTTGAATATTTGGCTAGCGTTTGTAATTATTTTTAGCCAACCAGCCAATTGGTGACTTGCCCTTTTTAGTTTCTTGACCCAAATTAATATACAGAAAAATGTTATGGTTGGATAATGCTTTAATTTCGAATTGTGAAAAAAATGAAAATAAAGAATTCATCCGATAATTGCTTGCTTCCCTTTCTCATATTTACGTCCGTATGTATATATTTGAGAGGACTTCAGTTTATTTCCTTCGCATTTTTCAAAACCAAAAATAAAATAAAAATTATTGTAGTATTTTTTTTAAAATATTGGAAAAAATTGGACAAGTAATACGTATTATGTTCTTGGTTTCTGTTGGTTGTCCCCTTCATTACATCACACGTAAGGAGGAGAGAGACAGAGATACACAATGGATCAAGAAAAGTAAAACAGAGTGATCTAATTTCTATCTCTCTGCATGTCCCTGCATGTTCGAACCATAGCTAGTTTAATTTGATTCATTATATATTTCGACAAAAAAAGACAAAATCTGCTCTCCTTTTCACTAGTATCCAATTAAAAATATTGAGCAATGATGAAATCCATGTTGAGAAAATATTCATCACTTTGATCCCGAAAGAAGAAGAAGAATTATATAATGAAGGCATTGGAAGCAACCGTAAGGAAAACACAATTGGTAGCCAGAAAACGAGCACACACAATTTTCGGCACGTATGGACCAACTCAGGTAGATGAAGAGCTCAATAATAAAGAAAAAGAAGAAGAAAATACTAACGAAGGACATGCTAATGGAGAATTATATCATTCAGAAAAATTTCTTCCAAATGGAGATTATTATACTGGATATTGGCTCGATAATGTACCTCAGGGACAAGGAAAATATTGGTGGACAGATGGATGTATGTACGTAGGAGAGTGGTATAGAGGCAAAATGATGGGAAAAGGTATATTTAGTTGGCCATCTGGTGCAATGTATGAAGGTAATTTCAAGAATGGTTATATGGATGGAAATGGAACATATACAGCACCAAATGGAGATACATTTAGAGGTTGTTGGTTAATGGATTTGAGACATGGACATGGTGTTAAAGAATATGCAAATGGTGATTGTTATGATGGGGAATGGTGTAGAGGATTACAACAAGGAAATGGGAAATATACATGGAAAAATGGGAATTATTATATTGGTGAATGGGAAAATGGTACAATTTGTGGGAATGGGAAATTGTATTGGAGTAATGGGAATTTATATGAAGGAAATTGGGAAGATGGATTGCCTAAGGGGAAAGGGACATTTAGATGGGGTGATGGGAGTTATTATGTTGGTAATTGGAGTAGAGATCCAGATGAATTAAATGGTACATTTTATCCATCTGAATCTTTATTAGAAAGAGGGAATTTTGAATGGGATCCTCAACAAGTTTTCAATGTTGATTTGATGGGATGTACAATTTCTCCAAATGAGAAGGTTTCAATATTGCCTTCACAGAAAAAACTCGCGGTTAGGATATCATCGAAGCCTGGGGACAACAACGGTAGTAGGGCGAGGAGGATGTCGATAGATGCAGCAGTAGATAAGGAATTTGGTAGAATGGAGTTATCAGATGGAATAGGAACAACTACTACTACAAGTAATTCTTGTTCAGATATTGAAGCCATGGTTAGTTTGCAAGAAGCTGAAGGATATAAAGGAGGTAGTCCTATTAGAATTCCTAAGGTTGTTAAAAGGCAAGGAGTCACCATTTCTAAAGGGCATAAAAATTATGAACTTATGCTCAATTTGCAGTTGGGAATCAGGTAGCTAAATTTACTTCATATGGAGTTCTAATTCCTGCTACATTTTCATTCCTTGAACTCCTATCTTTTATAGATGAAAAGCCTAGAGAAACTGATGTAAACAAAGACAGTTTACTATGTCAATTTATACATGAAAGGGAGCCTTGGCGTAACTGGTAAAGTTGCTGCAGTGTGACCAGGACGTCACAGGTTCAAGCTGTGGAAACAGCCTCTTGCAGAAATGCAGGGTAAGGCTGCGTACAATAAATCATTGTGGTCTGGCACTTCCCCGAACCCCGCGCATAGCGGGAGCTTCGTGCACCGGGCTACCCTTTTACTATGTCAATTTAGCAGTTATTTCAAGGTATTAACTTGCAAATATTACAAGACATGAACCCTTTTAGTACCTTTTGCCTATAGTTTTGGTTCTATGCACTAACGATGTAAGACATATTTGCACAATTAGATCACTTAAACGGCACTTGCAGTTAACTCTATATGATAAACATTTATCAGTAGCTTGGAATAAATGGTAAGAGACATGCTATAATAGGCCAAATTACAATGTTCTATACTTGTCCGTGTATATAAATTAAATCCTTTCTGAAAACCTGTAATAAGTGTCTGTCATCTTGCGCATTTAGGCTGAGAAGAGTATGTTTTGTTTGTGTATGATACCTTGTAATGTGAATAACCATATAGGCATACAATACAAAAGCTTGGTCCTGTTCCAACACTTGATCTGGAGCCATCAGCTTTTGATCCAAAAGAGAAGTACTGGACAAGATTTCCGCCTGAAGGATCCAAGCATACGCCGCGTCATCAGTCTTGTGATTTCAGATGGAAAGATTATTGCCCAAAAGTTTTCAGGTAATACTTCCTCAGCATGCAATATTGACAACTTCATTTCTTTGTATACTGTGATTGAACCAGAGTTAGGAGACTTTTATCTGCAAAGAGACAATAAGCATTTTCGACCAATATATTGTCCAGGGCTTTAAGGATGTTATTTAAGGTGGATGCAACGGAGTATATGCTGTCCATTTGTGGCCCTCTCAGAGAGCTAAGCTCTCCAGGAAAAAGTGGAAGCTTTTTTTACTTGACAAATGACGATAGATACATGATCAAGACAATGAAAAAGGCAGAAGTAAAGGTGAGATCTCTAACATCCTCCATAATATATGCGCTTAATTGCAATGAAATAAGGTTCAAAGTTGAGGTACTTGCCATCAGTAGCGAATTTAGAATTTAGAGTTAGTTGGTTCTGCTGTTTATATATGTGGCTATTTTCTTCTCTCATACACATGATCCGAGAATCAGTATTTCTTGATTATGAAAACCACGTGATTGCTCTTCTGATTTTTCCTGTCAACGAGTGCTCATTAGGTACTTATAAGGATGCTCAACGCTTATTACAATCATTTTCGTTCTTTTGAGAACACCCTTGTGACTAAGTACTATGGCCTGCATTGCCTGAAGCTAAATGGACCAGCTCAAAAGAAGGTACTCGCATAATAATACATTGAAAAGTACACTATATTTAGTTGCTAGAAATTATTCACCACTAAAAACTTCCAATCTGTTCACTGGTTTAGGTCCGGTTCGTGATCATTGGCAATCTTTTCTGCACCAATTACACTATTCATAGACGGTTCGACTTGAAAGGATCAACTTTTGGCAGAATAACAGATAAACCAGAATCAGAAATTGATACAACAACTACTCTTAAAGATCTTGATCTGAACTTCATATTCAGGCTACAAAAATCATGGTTTGAAGAATTCAGGAGGTAAAATTTGTTTCCTCAGGTTAACTCTCTACTATTCAACTTTGATATCAATACCAATATCTGGTCTTTTAACTATAAATATTATTTTGGTGTTGCGAGAAAGAACTCTTATCAGGGGTGGGCTTATAATTCTGATTATGTGTTCATTGAACCGTCGCTTTTTGGCATATACAATAATTTCACAGAATTAAGTTTAAATCCTGAATCCGTCTATGGCTATAATATTACTTTGAATTTGCAGGCAAGTTGATAGGGATTGTGAGCTGTTGGAACAGGAAAGAGTGATGGACTACAGTCTTTTAGTTGGTGTTCATTTTAGAGAAGGAAATGCTACTGGTACTGGATATCAAACTCCTTCTGGTTGTAAAACACCTATTGGTAGGTGCTAATCTCACAACACTAGCATTTACATTTATCAATCATGGCAGAAATTATCTTCTAGCTTTTAGTAAATCTTCTTCACTTTTGGGCAACTCATTTCTTTTACCTGTTAACTGTTAACTTTCCTCATAATTAAGGCTCAAACATTGTTGTAAAAAACAAGAAAGTATGAACTTTTTCATGTTGCAGAAAATGGCAGCTCAGAAATTGAACCAGTTCATCGGTTTTCTCGATCAGATGTGGATCTATTACTTCTTAATGCTGCAGGGTAAGTTTTTCATCTGCCATAACATGTTAAAATACAATAATGGCGTATAATTATTTACACCATTAATGTATATAAGTTGAATTCTTTCTCAACCAGTCCAAATATACTCTTAATAGTGTGATATTATCCGCTTTCGCCAAGCAAGAAGGTCTCTTTTTAGCTACCAATATGAAGTCGACACCCAACAGTACACCATCTAATAATTGTATCGTCGCATTAAGATTTGAATAGTTTTTTCTAGTTGAGTGGATATCATATTTTATGCAGGTTGACAAGCACAAGTTTGGGAGTAAACATGCCTGCAAGAGTTGAAAGGACAAACAGGAAAAATGATTTGGACTTTCAGCTAATAGGAGAACCAACAGGAGAGTTATATGAAGTGACATTATATTTTGGAATAATAGACATACTTCAAGACTATGACATTACCAAAAAGCTTGAACATGCATATAAGTCTATCCAATGTGACCCAAACTCAATCTCAGCAGTTGATCCAATGGCATACTCCAGGCGATTTCGCGATTATATATTCAAAGTTTTTGTAGAGGACAATTAACGAGAGGAATATACTACTTGTTTTTCTTTTCTCAATTTGATGGGAGGACTCCAACAATTTTAATTGGCTGTTGAAGCTTTGAAGAAACTTATGCTTCATGGAATTTTGTCATTTTTATCATCATAGATATACACTAATTTAATAGTCAATTGTATAGAGAAATTAACTTTGTTTTGATACTTAGTACCTTTTGTCAATTAATTAATCTGAGCCCCTTAAACCTTATGGTGCTTTTGATTCAGTGTGGTTCATGAACAGATTTTATTTTGTAGTTAAGTGTAAAAAACATACTGTAAAAAAGAGATCGAAGGATTATTTCATTTGGATTCCTCTTCAGTTTTGTTCCCCTTTCCATTGGTGTTGAGGACTAGATCACTTGGTGAGCTCGCATTCAAACCTAATCAGCAATTTAGTATATATACCATGTTACTTGCTAGGCTACTTCAAGGATTTAATTGGAGCTTAAGACCAAACTCTCCAGGCATTAGGGCTGCTTATCGGGCGAATTGGGTGGTTATTTACTCTTAACGGTTTGGCTTATCGGTTATCGGCTTTTAAATGTATTAATCCGCTAGCCACCCGATAAGATATCGGGCGGATTGGTATCGGTTTAGCTCTTATCGGGCGGTTATCAGGAGATTTATCGGCCTAATTCAATCTATATTGCGTGCATTAATTGTTTGCTGACCGGTGACTCAAAATAGAAAATTGAGAAAAGAAAAAGGAGAAATTAGAGTAGCAGCTTTCCAATTTTAAGTATTAAAATAGCCGTCAATATGAATTCTCCAAACTCTCAGCTCAGGATAATTCAGTTACTCTATCATCATCTTGATTACACCTCACAATCACATATAATATATATGCCTTTTTTTTTTTATTTTTTTTTATTTTTAACTTTCATCACTAATATTCCTCAAGAAAGAAGTTAAGACGCTCTACTAGTGAATAAGCATTACAATACTGACATCAGCAACAACGAATTAACGATATGAGATATATATATATATATATATATATATATATATATATATTCTTAACGGGTTAACGGATTATCCGTTAAGAAAATTGAATAATCCGCCCCCAAACAGATAAGCCGTAAATAAAAAAATTTCAATCTGTTCCCCATTCGTTAAACCGTTAACCCGATACCAATAAGCCATTAAGCTTCAGTTTCGGTTCGGTTTTCGGTTTCGGTTCAGTTTTGAACACCCATTGAGAACTCGGGATGTAATCTCTGCCAGTTTTTGCGATTATCGATGGGCATGTGCTCTTAATTTATGTGTAATAAAGCACGGCATGCGTGTGTTAACAGAATTATAGAATGAACTAGTACACTTACCCGCGCATTGCGCGGGATTTAAGAAACATCAATAAAATTTAAAAAATTATCAAGTTAATAACAAATGTAGATATTAACCCTCTTTTTATGAGAAAGAAAATTGCCAATAAATAAAGTACAGTTGGTTTAATTCATAAATTTATTTAGCAAATAATCTATGTCGCGTATAGTTAATTGTATATTACCAATGAAGATTACTTAAGTTTTATCTAATTAAGAAAGTCCAAGACCAATAAAAATAAAAATCTAAGATTAAAATAAAAGTTGCATAGATTTTTAAAACTATTAATTACACAAATAAAATAAAATAAATTATTGTTAGTTATATATTGAGAAGTTGAAAATTTCTATGAGAAAAAATACATACTCTTTGATAAAAGATCATTAGGAAAACCTCCTCCTCTTACCTTGCAACATAAATGTTAAAACTTTTATTACATTAATGTATTTCATTATTCTGGTAGTTAAAGCATGCTTTTATGGGATACATTTAATCATAAGACCCATATTCTAGCTTTTAGCTGGAGAATATCCAACCATAGTTTCCATTGAATGAATAATGGATCCGGATCCTAAAAATAATAATGCTTTGGAATAAGCATGAGTAATCAAATGAAATAAAGCGCGTCGATAAGACCCCATACCAAGAGCTAACATCATATAACCCAATTGAGACATTGTAGAATAGGCTAAACCTCTCTTAATGTCTTTTTGAGCAAGAGCTAAAGTAGCTCCTAATAATACATTATGTAAGGTATAACTCTGAAAAGAGGAAGAAGCCGAGCTACAAGAAAAATTCCCGCCGCTACCATAGTAGCAGCATGTATAAGAGCCGAAATGGGAGTAGGCCCCTCCATGGCATCGTGTAACCATACATGAAGGGGGAATTGGGCGGATTTAGCAACTGTACCGGCAAATAAGAGAACAGCATATAAAGTAACAAATAAAAAATCGACTTCATTATTATAAATCAAGTTATTGAATATTTCGAATAAATCCCTAAATTCGAAACTCCCTGTTATCCAATAAAAACCTAAAATTCCTAATAATAAACCAAAATCCCCTACATGAATAGTTACAAACGCTTTTTGACAAGCATTTGCCGCAACAAGTCGTGTAAACCAAAATCCTATTAATAGATAGGAATAGAGCTGCAACATTAAATTAGAGATAATGACACACTTTAAAGAATAAAATTCACTAATCAGTCACTGCAACATTCAAATTTTTTAATAAGAAAATCTTTCAATAACACACTTAATAAGATAAGAGCCAAAACCAGTTGTGTGTAAATTCAAACATTAGAATAATGGGTATTGTTTGACAGTTGATTATGAACTTTAATAAGTTTTCAATCATCTATAGTATAACCCAAAAATCAAAAATACTTTATTCATAAAGTTACTAACTCGTTCTCTAGTGATTTTTAAACTACCGAAAGATTCACAGTGTTAAAATTTTTGATCGGTAATAACATGTGATTTTCTTAATTAATTACATTACATTATATGTTAACTTAATGTTATCTACAAATGGTCAATGTCATAGATTAATCCCTCGTGAACTGAACGCTTGAATTTTTTTGGCACAACCTTCATAATACAAGTAAAATTCTACGATGATGCTGGTTGAGTTATCCTTGTTCTTCAAGAAAGGTCACAACGCCACACTTTTCTTTGTGGGATCATTCTTCTTTTGATCTCATCCTCATTTGCTTTGGTTTCTTCCTTTTTCTTTTGAACACCAAAGTTAAATAAATCTTTGAGTATTATGAAAACATGGAAAGAAGTTGAGATTTTTGAAAAAGAACATTAGAGTAAACATGTTATAAATTTACGAAACTCATTTGAAAAGTTTAAGGAGTTATGAGTGTTAGAAGAGAAACAACTCTAGACAAGGAAGAACAATTAAAAAAAATAAAAGAAATAGGGGCAAAAAGAATTAAGAACATATAGAAAAATATATTTATAAAAATGATAAATCTATATATAACAGGAAAAGAAAGCACATTAGAATCTCACTTCGACATAGAAAAAATTCACAACTCTGTCACGACCCATTTCTGAGAATAGGTCGTGATGGCGCCCAACACCATTTACCGGGCAAGCTAACGCGGAAAAATACTAACTAAACTTCCATTTACCTTTACCCCGAAATAGTTGGAAAAATTCGTTAAGGTGAAATAAAATCAGAAACGATTAATAAAGTCATGTTAATCATATAACCCCAAAATAATACAGTCTACTATTGTGTGTGCCAAGACCTGGTGTCACAAGCTGTGGGCAACTAGTAGAATATACAAAAGAATCACACTATCCTACTGTCCGAAACAGAATAGACAGCAAACTACATAAGAAAGACTTCTTCAGGCTGCTGAACGGCATGGAAGGAAGCAGCTCACCGTAGGAGTCTCGGATCCGCTCAGGGATATGCACCTGACTGATAGCCAGATACACCTGCCTCAGATCCTATACAATTAAGTACAGAAGTGTAGTATGAGTACATAAATAATATGTACCCAGTAAGTATCCCGTCTAATCTCGAAGAAGTAGAGACGAGAGGTCGACTTGACACTTATTAGGGTCAAATAATGTGAGAAGAATTTATAATTAGCATGGATAGCACAAGTTATTAGCATAAAAAAAACATGGAATAACAGTCCTTTCCCAAGTATTATCATGGATATTAACCTATATTTCCAGCAGATATGAAATTCAGTCCTCAGAGAAATGCTAAGCAAAACATGCGCAAGTAACACCGTGGGACGTACGGCCCGATCCAACATAAAAAGTAAATTGTGCACTGCCGAGGGTCGAACGGCTCGAACCATAGATGCATCTATTACCCCGCTCGCGAATCACCCATGTGACGCGCTCAAATATAAATAAGCTCATCAACCAGCAAACAATAATGTATATCTGAGGAGTAGTTATTCACAGGAATACCCAATATTCTCTCTTACAAGACCAAACAGGATAAGGTTCCTTAACTAGTCTCATTTACCTTAATTAAAATAGTTTATATGAATCCGAATTTATCATCAAGTTACAAGAATATCACGTAGAGCATGCCTATGGGTCCTAGACTACCCGGACTTAACATAATAGCCGCTACGCACGGACTCTCGTCACCTAGTACGTACGTAGCCCCCGCATATAATGGAAATTAATTGAATTATTATACCTATGGGGACAATTCCCTCTTACAAGGTTAGAAAGGAGACTCACAAGATCGAATTCTAGCTATTTAATCAATTTCCCAACCCTTAACACAAGTTTCCTAAAATTCGACCCCGGGCCCACGTGCCCGGATTCTGAGATATTTCGAAAGAAGTTGTTCTCTACATCCTAAGGATCAATAATATATGATTTCTAATTTATTCCATAACAAATTTTGTGGTTAAATCTAACTTTTATTAAAACCCTAGGTTTTTACACTAACCCCATGATTTCACCTTAATACTAGTGTTTAATCTACCCAAGACATAAGAAATAAACTAGAAATGGGTAGGACTAACTTACCTCAAGATGCTTGGTGAAGGTTTTCTCTCAAGAGCTCTAAAATCGCCAATGGAGGAGTGAAAAGTGTCAAAAATTGGTTTGGAACCCGTATTAAATGAACCTCACTACTTCNAATGGGATCAGAAGAGTCCACTATAATAGCATCATAATATTCTGCTTGTGCAGCCTTTACAAATGCAGCCCCTGAAATGAAAGATTACCAATAGACAGGTGAAATAACCAACACTAAAAAAAATGGTACTAAAAATTAAATGAAATAAAAATGAGACTATCGAATATGCACCATCTCCGAGGACTAGGGTTACACGAGGATCAACAGTTTACTATGTCAATTTATACATGAAAGGGAGCCTTGGCGTAACTGGTAAAGTTGCTGCAGTGTGACCAGGACGTCACAGGTTCAAGCTGTGGAAACAGCCTCTTGCAGAAATGCAGGGTAAGGCTGCGTACAATAAATCATTGTGGTCTGGCACTTCCCCGAACCCCGCGCATAGCGGGAGCTTCGTGCACCGGGCTACCCTTTTACTATGTCAATTTAGCAGTTATTTCAAGGTATTAACTTGCAAATATTACAAGACATGAACCCTTTTAGTACCTTTTGCCTATAGTTTTGGTTCTATGCACTAACGATGTAAGACATATTTGCACAATTAGATCACTTAAACGGCACTTGCAGTTAACTCTATATGATAAACATTTATCAGTAGCTTGGAATAAATGGTAAGAGACATGCTATAATAGGCCAAATTACAATGTTCTATACTTGTCCGTGTATATAAATTAAATCCTTTCTGAAAACCTGTAATAAGTGTCTGTCATCTTGCGCATTTAGGCTGAGAAGAGTATGTTTTGTTTGTGTATGATACCTTGTAATGTGAATAACCATATAGGCATACAATACAAAAGCTTGGTCCTGTTCCAACACTTGATCTGGAGCCATCAGCTTTTGATCCAAAAGAGAAGTACTGGACAAGATTTCCGCCTGAAGGATCCAAGCATACGCCGCGTCATCAGTCTTGTGATTTCAGATGGAAAGATTATTGCCCAAAAGTTTTCAGGTAATACTTCCTCAGCATGCAATATTGACAACTTCATTTCTTTGTATACTGTGATTGAACCAGAGTTAGGAGACTTTTATCTGCAAAGAGACAATAAGCATTTTCGACCAATATATTGTCCAGGGCTTTAAGGATGTTATTTAAGGTGGATGCAACGGAGTATATGCTGTCCATTTGTGGCCCTCTCAGAGAGCTAAGCTCTCCAGGAAAAAGTGGAAGCTTTTTTTACTTGACAAATGACGATAGATACATGATCAAGACAATGAAAAAGGCAGAAGTAAAGGTGAGATCTCTAACATCCTCCATAATATATGCGCTTAATTGCAATGAAATAAGGTTCAAAGTTGAGGTACTTGCCATCAGTAGCGAATTTAGAATTTAGAGTTAGTTGGTTCTGCTGTTTATATATGTGGCTATTTTCTTCTCTCATACACATGATCCGAGAATCAGTATTTCTTGATTATGAAAACCACGTGATTGCTCTTCTGATTTTTCCTGTCAACGAGTGCTCATTAGGTACTTATAAGGATGCTCAACGCTTATTACAATCATTTTCGTTCTTTTGAGAACACCCTTGTGACTAAGTACTATGGCCTGCATTGCCTGAAGCTAAATGGACCAGCTCAAAAGAAGGTACTCGCATAATAATACATTGAAAAGTACACTATATTTAGTTGCTAGAAATTATTCACCACTAAAAACTTCCAATCTGTTCACTGGTTTAGGTCCGGTTCGTGATCATTGGCAATCTTTTCTGCACCAATTACACTATTCATAGACGGTTCGACTTGAAAGGATCAACTTTTGGCAGAATAACAGATAAACCAGAATCAGAAATTGATACAACAACTACTCTTAAAGATCTTGATCTGAACTTCATATTCAGGCTACAAAAATCATGGTTTGAAGAATTCAGGAGGTAAAATTTGTTTCCTCAGGTTAACTCTCTACTATTCAACTTTGATATCAATACCAATATCTGGTCTTTTAACTATAAATATTATTTTGGTGTTGCGAGAAAGAACTCTTATCAGGGGTGGGCTTATAATTCTGATTATGTGTTCATTGAACCGTCGCTTTTTGGCATATACAATAATTTCACAGAATTAAGTTTAAATCCTGAATCCGTCTATGGCTATAATATTACTTTGAATTTGCAGGCAAGTTGATAGGGATTGTGAGCTGTTGGAACAGGAAAGAGTGATGGACTACAGTCTTTTAGTTGGTGTTCATTTTAGAGAAGGAAATGCTACTGGTACTGGATATCAAACTCCTTCTGGTTGTAAAACACCTATTGGTAGGTGCTAATCTCACAACACTAGCATTTACATTTATCAATCATGGCAGAAATTATCTTCTAGCTTTTAGTAAATCTTCTTCACTTTTGGGCAACTCATTTCTTTTACCTGTTAACTGTTAACTTTCCTCATAATTAAGGCTCAAACATTGTTGTAAAAAACAAGAAAGTATGAACTTTTTCATGTTGCAGAAAATGGCAGCTCAGAAATTGAACCAGTTCATCGGTTTTCTCGATCAGATGTGGATCTATTACTTCTTAATGCTGCAGGGTAAGTTTTTCATCTGCCATAACATGTTAAAATACAATAATGGCGTATAATTATTTACACCATTAATGTATATAAGTTGAATTCTTTCTCAACCAGTCCAAATATACTCTTAATAGTGTGATATTATCCGCTTTCGCCAAGCAAGAAGGTCTCTTTTTAGCTACCAATATGAAGTCGACACCCAACAGTACACCATCTAATAATTGTATCGTCGCATTAAGATTTGAATAGTTTTTTCTAGTTGAGTGGATATCATATTTTATGCAGGTTGACAAGCACAAGTTTGGGAGTAAACATGCCTGCAAGAGTTGAAAGGACAAACAGGAAAAATGATTTGGACTTTCAGCTAATAGGAGAACCAACAGGAGAGTTATATGAAGTGACATTATATTTTGGAATAATAGACATACTTCAAGACTATGACATTACCAAAAAGCTTGAACATGCATATAAGTCTATCCAATGTGACCCAAACTCAATCTCAGCAGTTGATCCAATGGCATACTCCAGGCGATTTCGCGATTATATATTCAAAGTTTTTGTAGAGGACAATTAACGAGAGGAATATACTACTTGTTTTTCTTTTCTCAATTTGATGGGAGGACTCCAACAATTTTAATTGGCTGTTGAAGCTTTGAAGAAACTTATGCTTCATGGAATTTTGTCATTTTTATCATCATAGATATACACTAATTTAATAGCAATTGTATAGAGAAATTAACTTTGTTTTGATACTTAGTACCTTTTGTCAATTAATTAATCTGAGCCCCTTAAACCTTATGGTGTCTTTTGATTCAGTGTGGTTCATGAACAGATTTTATTTTGTAGTTAAGTGTAAAAAACATACTGTAAAAAAGAGATCGAAGGATTATTTCATTTGGATTCCTCTTCAGTTTTGTTCCCCTTTCCATTGGTGTTGAGGACTAGATCACTTGGTGAGCTCGCATTCAAACCTAATCAGCAATTTAGTATATATACCATGTTACTTGCTAGGCTACTTCAAGGATTTAATTGGAGCTTAAGACCAAACTCTCCAGGCATTAGGGCTGCTTATCGGGCGAATTGGGTGGTTATTTACTCTTAACGGTTTGGCTTATCGGTTATCGGCTTTTAAATGTATTAATCCGCTAGCCACCCGATAAGATATCGGGCGGATTGGTATCGGTTTAGCTCTTATCGGGCGGTTATCAGGAGATTTATCGGCCTAATTCAATCTATATTGCGTGCATTAATTGTTTGCTGACCGGTGACTCAAAATAGAAAATTGAGAAAAGAAAAAGGAGAAATTAGAGTAGCAGCTTTCCAATTTTAAGTATTAAAATAGCCGTCAATATGAATTCTCCAAACTCTCAGCTCAGGATAATTCAGTTACTCTATCATCATCTTGATTACACCTCACAATCACATATAATATATA